AACAAACTGTTTATAAACAGTTCCCAAACATGCATTCTTGGGGACAAACGGTGCGACAACTCAAGAATTAAGATAAAGTTTCTTACAAGCCCCCGGTGCATATCCCAGTGGTACAAAGGATAAGGGTGGGGTATACTCAGCGTTGCTGGCAGCCGAAGTGTGAAAGTTCGATTCCTTAAATATGGATTGAGACTCTTTGTGAGCACCAGTGTACAGGCAGCTTTTGTTCCCCGACCTGTTGAGGCACATCCGACGATTAACCTCTCTCACGATACTCCAGGGGCGGAGGGCGAGAGGAACCCTTAAAGTTGGAGAGACCCCTTTTTTTTTTTTTTTTTTTTTTTTTTTTAAAGTTCCTTACAAAGTTTGAGATAGATTTTCAAAATAATAATAATAATAATAAATTCTAAAATCATTTTTAACCACACGTTAAAAAAAATAAAATTTAATACGGCCCCATGAGATTGTTTTCTTATGGATAATGGACATTGCCAATGAGTTGATTAATTGGTGGAAAAACGAACATCAGATAATGCACAAATTTATTTGTGGCCGTCGTTAGAACAACAAATATTTCCAGTCCATTCTACATTTTTCTCTACGTCATTTGAGAATTCATGGCGGCCCCTTTCCATTTCCCAAACCTTCAAGGTCCTCTTCTTCACAAATCCCACTTTCTTGGCCAACCCAATTTCTCCAAATCCATTCATAAATCAATCTTCACAATTCCAAAACAACCCTCATCTTTCAAATCTACTCCCACAGCAAAATTCAACCTCTATGAGATATTGGGAGGTAGAGGCCTCTGCAATGGAGAAGAAGGTCTCCAACAAGAACTGAAAAGATCTCCCGCCACCCCAGAGGAGGAGGCACCGCCAGTGGAAAACCCTCAAGATCAAGAAAAGCCACCACCACCAGCATCAGAAATATCAGGAGATGAATTTGAAAAGGAGTTACTAGGCTTAACTGGTGGATTTCCAGGCGGCGAAATAGGACTCATGAAGTTCATTGAACAAAATCCACCACTTAAGAAGGGAGAATCAGCCATTGTCGAGTTTACTCCAAACTCTGTAAAGAGGCCAAAAGCACCGGAATTGCCACTGTTATTGCCAGGAATGATAGCCATTGTCAAGAACCCTAATAACCCCTTTTATATGTACTGTGGTATTGTCCAAAGAATTACTGATGGAAAGGCTGGGGTTCTGTTTGAAGGTGGGAATTGGGATAGACTCGTCACTTTCCGGCTTGACGAACTCGAGCGTCGCGAAAAGGGGCCGCCAATGGCGAACCCTAGGTCTGCAATCCTTGAGAGCATGGTAGAGAAAGAGGAGAACAGTTCATGATGTGAATTTAAACTCATCTGCTATGAGAACTTGCTTTCACGGTACTTTTTGTACAATAATGCATAATCAGCAACTTACTGGAACTGGTTTTTAGCCTTTTGTAGCTAAGGGGGAATGTTTGATATTCATTACTTGAGATATTCATTCACTTGTATAATCTCCAACTTAGTCCGAATTCGGACAGGAATAGATATTTATGCACGTATCTTATTTTCTCTCCATTTGCGTACAACCCATCAATCAAAGACGGTAATTTGCATGCTCGTAAAGTAAAAAAAAAGGGGATTCAGTCGAATTCTCCAAATGTATGGATATGAAAGCCAAGAACTTGTTAAAATGTCGTTTCTCACTGCGAGATTCCGGGAGAAGTTCAGATACAGCTGCTCAACTGTGAGAAGAGAAAATGATCAACAATTAGTATGGGGAGAACCGAGTTACTAAATGCCAAAGCGAAGATTTGAGAATCGATTACAAAAACCAAATTATCACTCATTGAAGGCAAAGATTTGGACTCTAAATGAAGTGAGGATAGAGGTGCAATCATATCATACACCACAAAATTGCATAAACAATCCTCTATGGTTAGTAATAACATTCCTAACAAGTACCATGTACCAACAACCAAATTTTCAAATTTTTATTCTACAACTGCAAAACCAAGATAAATTTTTCATGGATATTTGAATGCATCAACACATTGATAATACAATAACTAAAAGTTGTAATTCACTAACTAAATCCAAATTGAGGCTAGCCTAGTTTACCTCACATCTGCAACTTGAAACATAGATATATTATGTTTCTTTTAGAAGAAAGTACAAATGAATAAAAAATATATAGCAAAATTGGAGACAAACAAAATGAAGAACTGAAGAGACTGAAAGATTAAGAGGTGATAATAGATTAATGAGCTCATAACACTCCTATAATTATGTGTGCTCAGTGGTTCTTACCTACCATGATAGCATCAATCTCTTCTCGAGACACAGGTGTCCTTTTGGGCTGGTCAGAAGCTTTTCCTCCCATGGTCATGCTGGATGAAGACCTTGAGAAAAATGTTCCACAATCATCCCCTGCTGCAGTTGTTTATTGATGCTGAGATACATAATCTAAAGAGGAATCATCTTGCTATTTAGATGCACAGTAAATATTTAACAGTAATCCATGTTGGGGTATCAAACTCAAACATTTGATGCATCATTAATGTAGAAAGTTCTTTAAACATATTGAGGCTCACAAGTCAAATCAATACTCTCTCTCTCCCACTCCATTTCCTTCCTTCCTTTCCTCCCTCTTTCTCTCTTCTCTGTGTGTGTGTGTGAAAGAGAGAGAGAATGAATCAACTCTCACATTCATTTTTCAAGCTTATGAAAAACCAATCCCTGACACTTCACTGTAGTAAAAATGGAACCAATTGAGTCCAGGTCTCTACCTGGAGTAATTGCTTCTTTCTACACAAATGTCCAACATGTGTAACCACCAATTTATCAACCCATAACTAGCACTCACTGATTTAATTAACTGATTGCAGTTTATTTCCCTCCATAATTACACAAAGAATGGAGAAAAGGTTTTGACAGAATAATAGAAACATCTAGTACAAGATATTTGTCCTAGTTGGAATAATCTTTAGACCCTCCAAGAAAGAAAAATATTTAGAAACCAAGTTGGAATAAGCCATAGAAGTTAGGGGGCCAATAATGATATTTTTATATATAAGTTAATGGTAATTATTGCTATTAATTTATGTATCTTTTAGTGAATTCATAATTACCATAAAAAATTCATAGATAGAAGCATTCCCTTACAAGTTGGCGTACTCTTTTAGTGCATCTTTTAGTGAATTCATATATATATTTTTTACTGAATTTTGATAAATTTCTAGTTAAAAAATGTTGAAAAAATCATGGCCCCGTTTGGTAGGGATTTTTTGCCCCAANACTCAAACATTTGATGCATCATTAATGTAGAAAGTTCTTTAAACATATTGAGGCTCACAAGTCAAATCAATACTCTCTCTCTCTCCCACTCCATTTCCTTCCTTCCTTTCCTCCCTCTTTCTCTCTTCTCTGTGTGTGTGTGTGAAAGAGAGAGAGAATGAATCAACTCTCACATTCATTTTTCAAGCTTATGAAAAACCAATCCCTGACACTTTACTGTAGTAAAAATGGAACCAATTGAGTCCAGGTCTCTACCTGGAGTAATTGCTTCTTTCTACACAAATGTCCAACATGTGTAACCACCAATTTATCAACCCATAACTAGCACTCACTGATTTAATTAACTGATTGCAATTTATTTCCCTCCATAATTACACAAAGAATGGAGAAAAGGTTTTGACAGAATAATAGAAACATCTAGTACAAGATATTTGTCCTAGTTGGAATCATCTTTAGACCCTCCAAGAAAGAAACATATTTAGAAACCAAGTTGGAATAAGCCATAGAAGTTAGGGGGCCAATAGTGATATTTTTATATATAAGTTAATGGTAATTATTGCTATTAATATATGTATCTTTTAGTGAATTCATAATTACCATAACAAATTCATAGATAGAAGCATTCCCTTACAAGTTGGCGTACTCTTTTAGTGCATCTTTTAGTGAATTCATATATATTTTTTTTACTGAATTTTGATAAATTTCTAGTTAAAAAATGTTGAAAAAATCATGGCCCCGTTTGGTAGGGATTTTTTGCCCCAAAAAATTGATTTTTTGACTATTATTTTACTATTCAAGCCGAAATTTTTGACTTCTTCTCTCACATGTGGATCCAACTTTTCTTCTAACGGTCAAAAAATCAATTCTCAAAATCCCTACCAAACGGGCCCCAAATCTTAATTTTACAATACAACATATCAATTAGGAAAATAATTTAATGAACTACTTTTTAAAGTTATTTTATTTTATTTATTTATTTTTACAGTTATTTCAAAATATATCTGTAGCCATTACAGAAAATCACTATTTAAACAATATTTCATGAATACGAAAAATTAAAATAAAACAAAATTACCAAAATGCGCATCCGGGGAATCGAACCCCGGTCAGTACCGTGGGAGGGTACTATGATACCACTACACTAGATGCGCTTTTTGTTCATCCTGTAAATGTATTATTATATAATATTATCTTTTATCATTAGATTGAAAACTTTAAACAGTTTGGAAGAGTTGGTGCTTGTTTTTAGCTATTTTTATTACTCAATTATTCAGTCAAAAAATAGCAATTAATAATAGAAAAGGATTGAAAGTGAGAGATGGGTTTATTAAGAATTTATTTTGGAAATTTCATTGCGTGTCCTTTTTTTCTTTGAATATAAAAAGCATTACTATTTTCAAATACGCATAAGAAGAGACTATGCCCGTTTTCAGCCACCATTTTTTCAAATGAAAATTGGTAGAATAATATATATATATTTTTAAATGAGTAGTTAAAAAAGAATAAAAATTTTCGATTTATGTGTAATATTATTTTATGGAAGATTGTGTGATTGAAAATTGCAGTGAGAAAAATGAAATTTAATCAATGAGGTTCAAACGGGGGTAATAGTCAAGTCATTATAAAATTTCTATTAAATTTATTTTATGTTGAATTATGCTTACAGACTAACAAACTGGTTTTCCTTTCCTTAAAGTCATAAATCGAAACCATTATCTTAAATTCAACGATATTATTGAAACTATACTATATTGTCTTGTTTTCATAAGATTTTCAAAATAAAATTGAATCCTTAATCCTATATCCACATTCATATTGTCAAAATGCATTCGAAAAATTTATGTCAAACTAGGAATAACTTTTTTATTATGAAACCTAATTATGATTTTAGAGACGATTTGAACATACTATAGATGTTGAAACTTGGAATTGGTATTATTTGTACAGGACCGAACCATTCCTCTTACTCAAAATTTTGATATACTTATTTGACAAATAATCGCGACATTCAATTTAAATCAGTCCAACGCTCAATGTATATTTCGCTAAAATCATGAAAGAGTTTGTTATAATCACTTCAGATCCATAAAATATTGAGCGTTGGATTAATTTAAATTGAATGTCTTGCTTATTTGTCAAATAAATGTGTTAAATTTTTTAGTAGGAGGAACGATCCCATTATTTGTAAATTTAGTCCAATAAACAGTAATATTTATACATTGCAAGTCGTCAATAATCTATAAACCGTGAGGAACATGTGGTTTGGACCTCGCATTAATGAATGCCTAAAATGAAAAAGGTTTAAGGAGTGGAGAAATTGGGAATTAAAAAGTAAAAGAAAGAGAGTTATATTTCAATCGCGAAATGCTATGTGTATATTATGAGGTGTACACAATGAATTACATCCCTCTCACATGAGGGGGACATAGATATTTTATTGTGTGGGCCCCCCTCCATGTGAGGGGGTGTAATGCTATATGTACATTATTAGCATTTTCCATTTCAACATTGTTGTCCCACTTTGTCAATGTCTCTGTGTATGTATGTGCACCTGAGTATTGAAAATCTCGAGAGCTAGGTGACATATCCAACCAGTTAGTGCATGATTAAAAATAAATAAATAAATAAATAAAAGATTTTTAGTTGCTCATTTTTTTTTATTTTTTTATTTTTTTCTTAACAGCACTATTTTATGCCATTCAATTCTCTCGATCAAGTAGATCATTAATATATTTTGTAAAGGTTTCATGTATCAGAAGTTGACAAAAGAAAAATGTTAGAACTTATTTATAAAAGACTTTTCAACTTATAAGTATAATTCAAAATTTTAGCCAAGTTGATTCAACTAGAATCATAGCTTAATCTATATTCACACTATACATTTCCCGGCTCATAGTTGACTTCTTGGAACCCCACTAATCAATTTCATTTATTTTTTTTTTCTATTTTCTTTGTCTGAAAATGAAGTTCTACTTGTCTAGAAACCAAAACTACCAGATAGCCTGATATGATTGGCGCAATTTTTCTTAGCACTGATAAAATTTAGGAAAATTGTTACAAGATCAATTCTTACAAACCCCCGACGGCCCACCCCCGTCCCAAGCCCCAATTTCTCTGTGTTTTCCAACTGAATAAACACTAGGAAATCTGCCCTAAAGCTTTTGTTTATGCCCAAGAGAACATTGTTCTGCTAGAATCAACACAAAATTCTGATTATTCAACCACATGGAAACCTTAGCACTGTTCTTCTTGTTCTTCTTCTTTTCCTTTAAACAACTAGTTCTTTGTGCTGATGTTTGCAGTCCTGCATCTTGTGATGGTGTTGGGCCGAGAATCCGGTTCCCGTTCCGGCTGATAGGCCGGCAACCGGAGCATTGTGGCTATCCGGGCTTCCACCTTTTTTGCAACAACCAAAGCCAAACAATTCTTAGCCTTCCACTGTCCGGTGAATTTGTAGTAGACTACATAGATTACACTCGTCAGGCCATTTTTATCAATGATCCTGATCTTTGTGATTCAAAAAGAATCCTGAATTTCAGTCTTTCGAGAACTCCTTTCGAGGGTACCTATACGAGGAAATTCACTTTCCTTAACTGCTCCTCCAAAGCGACAGAATACATGTCGTATAATCTTATTCCATTGTTTTGCCTTAGTAGGGAAAACTACAGTGTTATGGCTATGCCTTCTTATTCATCAGCTCAAGAGATTCCACCATCCTGTCGCATAATTTCAAATGTTTCAGTTCCAATACAGCGCTACGCTCCTCAATACTGGTCATCAGGACAACTCAGGGAGGATTTTCAGTTGACATGGAATGAACCTCGATGCAGATCTTGTGAAGCTGATGGTGGGATTTGTGGGTTCGAAGGCAATACATTTCTTGAAGTCGGTTGCTCAAGACCTGCTAATGATGGTAAGTTTTATTCTATCTAACATGAAGTGCTGGAATTTTTCCTCAGATTTGCATCAGAATTATAGCGACAACAACAAAAAACTAATCCTTGTCCCAATAAATTTGTGGTCAGATGCATCCCTTTTTCGCTCATGGTTTGGTTTATTGCTAAATATAGCAGAAAAATTAGGTCTAATCAATGGGAATAAAGGAAATCCTTTTATAACAGTCTTCTGATCATGTTCAAGGCCATTCTTTAATTCTCAATAACAGTCTTTTGATCATGTTCAAGGCCATTCTTTAATTCTCAACAACAGTCTTTTGATCACTATTGTCCTTGTTATTTAAGCCTGCAAAAGATTAATCTACACGATGGTAAACTGGATTGAATAAGAACATAATAAATGCTCTCTACCTTTTATTTAGATATTGATTGGGTTGTGAGTACTGTGAACAGTAGCTTTAATAATGTTGGAATGAGTCAAAAATGGTGTCCAAATGAATATAATTGATCCATGAAATGTATACCTAATATACACGCAAGGCGTTGATTTCAATTTGGATTTTAGTATGATGATTCAAGGAAGATTATTCCACTTTTTATATTCAACGCAACGACGAATAAAATAGAGCTTAGTGTCGTGTTGATATTGTTTGTTGCTGCTGTTTCTTCCCAGTATTTTGCATCCTTTAAGAATTGCATAATATAGGTTTGTACTTTTACCAATAGCATCTGTTGTTAAATTTATATTTCAGGTCTTCCCAGAAGTGCCAAATATGGGATTATCGTTGGCATTGGAGTACCGGGACTCTTGTGCTTAATCGGACTTGCCTGTTTCGCATTTGGTAGGGTCAGGGTTTTGAGTAACCGTAGTCGTTTAAACATTAATGAGCTCCCTACCATTACCATCTCTCAGCAGCCGGTGGTCAGAGCTGCTGGCCTCGATGAGCCAACCATTGCATCTTACCCGATGACGGTGCTTGGGGAGAGCCGGAGGTTCCCGAAGTCTAGTGACGGCACTTGTCCGATATGCCTATCCGACTACGAGCCCAAGGAGACATTAAGGTCCATTCCAGAGTGCAACCACTATTTTCATGCCAAGTGCATAGATGAATGGCTTAAACTCAATGGGACATGCCCTTTATGCCGCAATTCACCGGACAGTTCAGTTGGGACGCCTTGCTCGTCGATGTCTTCCTCGTATTCATTGTCGTCCTCAGAACATCATTAGTCCAGCAATTTTTGTTAGCGTTATACTTACATTGATATTCGCATATAATAAAATTAATCGAGTTATAGTGCCATTTTTGCTATGTCGTCAATTTGTAGTTGGATTAACAAATTTTGTGGAAGTTGTTGGGTACCCTCCTTAAAATCGAGTATATAAGTCGTGAAAGCCATCCTCGAAATAAATTCGGTATCCTCCTCAAAATCAATTTTATGGCCGACTTCTACTAATATAGTTGTAAGAATAGTATTAGAGCAGGCGTGCCTTTAATTGAGGGACCTTCGCAAAAGAGAGACTTAGGAATAATGTCATTAAGCAGTAAATATTCATTTAGCTCGAAAAATAAGCATTCGTGAACATTGGCTCTAAAGAAAAGTGGACTATTTCAACTACCTTTTAGGTCCATATTGCACATGAAAATCGTGTTTTGTAAGTTTGCAGTCACATGAAACCCTCCCTCCCCTTTACAAATTAATTCTAAAGGTGGATTTTATCAAAGAAGACCACAAAACTACTGTAAAAGTATAACAAACAAAATCACAGAGAACTTACAATGAAAATTTTGTGCATAGGTAGAGGGCTATGTATGTTTTATAATTAAAGCACTTAAGAATGCCATTGTAAATCTATTTATTACTAATTTTAGAATTTTACTGCATAGCATTAGCATTAGAGAGAAGGTTTAACATTGACGAATGGCTAATATTGACACTGATACAAGGACTGAAGAAGTGTAAGTCTCGTTCTAAATCTTGAAGTAGAAATTTATTCCAAAAAGACGTAAATTGGTGCATCAACATTGGTGATGTCGACAATGGCTCACAATCTATCTAGGTCCAACTATCTTAAATCACTCCATCACGAACATTACGATTTACTATGACTTTCTTTAGAATGACAACTAATGAAAAACATGATTTTCATGACATGTAATAACATATTTAAGCCCCCGTTTGGCCCCCATTTTGGAGAAATGAAAATGTGTGGAATAATATTTTTTTGAAAAATATGTGGTTGAAAAAGAAGGAAAAGTTTTCGATTTTTGTGTAATATTATTTTATGGAAGATTGTGTGATTGAAAATAGGAGAGAGAAAAATGGAATGTAATAGAATTGAAATTAATAGGTCCATACGGGAACTTAACACGACGATAATCGCATTATCATTCACGCACAAATCTTCTTCCTCCGCAAAGAAGAATATGCCCAATTCGCGCAAAAAAATTTCCCCTCCAAAATAGAGGGAGGAAAAGACACAAATCCCAAAACCCTCCTCTCTCGCACACAACTTGTTACACCCATAACACCATAATAAAGACGTATATTTTTTCTCACTTTCAATTCCACTTCAAACATTCGTGCAAAGGTTAGAGTTTTAATGGAAGGCTCGAACTTTAAGCAATTATTTTATTTTATTTTATTTTTTATTTTATAGGGGTGACAAAAAAAGCCGAGTAGTTCATCGATTCGGCTTGTCAAAGTTTAGCCCATGGACTATTCCGGAATGTTTCGGGACAAGGCTGAGCCGAGTGGGGGTTCACGCGACGAGCCGAGCAAGGCTCGACTCGTTGAGCTCATGGACTGTGCCCACGAGCCCACGTGGGCTCGTAAAAAATGTGAACAAAAAAGTTTAAAACATTTAAAAAATTAAAAAGGTCAAAAATTCTTAAGCTTGTGACTCGGCTCGACTAACGAACTCAATGGGCTCGTAAAAAAAGTTCAAAAAAATTAAAAAATAAAAAAATATCTTGAGCTTGTGACTCGGCTCGACTAGGAGCTCGTGGGTCGAGCTCGGCTAGTGTTTGAACGAGCCCGAGCCCGAGGGTAGATGGCGCTCATGAAATCAAGAATATTATGTTCATAGATGTACGTCTTTTTTTAGGGACTAGGAAGCGAAAATAATGGCTTATAGACGTAGGTTAACAGCTCGAGCAAACCACCTTTATCAGCAACGATTCGGACCCTCGTTCTCATGTATACACCGTGATGACAATGATTGTAAAAACCCCAGTAATAATCCCATTTGGGAAAACCCAAAAATCCCAAATTTTTTCCAGCAAGGATTTCTGGGGACCCGAAATAGTAGTTTTTGCAGGGTTAATGGGTCGAAAAGTTTGTTTCGAGATTACAGATTTTCGATTCCGGTTAGTTATGGGCCGGTTTTTGCGAGATATATGTCGGCAGCTAGTGTGGGTGAAGGGGCAGCGGATAAGATTGAGATTGTGAATGATGTGGTGGAGGTTCTGGCGGATAAGACAGCCGAGGCTGGGGCGGTGGTGAATGAGGTGGCAATTGCGGCTGCTGATTCGTATTTTCCGGTGGCGGCTCTCCAATACTTGATTGATTATGTTCACAGTATTACTGGATTTAATTGGTGAGAGCAATACTGTCATTTCATCAACTGGCATTTGTGCATCTTTTCTTCTACTGTTATTTTTAAGAAATTGCTTATTGGAAAACCTAATGAATTATTTTTTGACTAGTTAGTATGTTAAACTTAATTGTTAGAAATGTTACTTGTTTCAAATTTGAATTAGAGAGGATCAGACAACGCACTATTCATGAAAATTTTAGATTGACACACATGCTGTATTAGAATTTTAATGTAAATTTGAAAACTTGTAAGAAGTATAGATACTTACTTTAGAGCTTGTTTGTCCAATCTTAAAAATAATGTTTTTTGAACAACAATTAACATTTTTTTTTCAGCTTTAAAGTATTTTTTTCTTATTTTTTTAAGTAACTCTCAACTCTTAACCTGCTATCAATAAAAATAACTTGCTTACTTCCCAAAAGTAAGAAAAAGTATTTAGTTTAAAACTTGTAAGTAAATTTACTTGTAAATAAAAATTTTAAGTTTAGCCAGACATGCTTGTAGTAAAATTTTCTGAAGATGTGAAAATTTGGCTCTTTGAGGCACGAATCAGAATCTAGCTTGAGTTGGCAGTGCATCATATTGTTGCTGAAATGTTTTAAAGATGGATGAAATCAAGATTTTTTTTTTGGAAACTTGATTTTGTTTAGGTGGGCATCAATAATTGCGACAACCCTTGTGATTCGGTGGCTAGCTCTTCCTCTTATGGTAAATCAACTGAAAGCAACTTCGAAATTTACCGTAAGTTCTTGCTCATGCTTTTTGCTCACTTGAATTTCACGTTGTTATTTCCTTTTATATTGGCAAATGCTGGCACTTTTAAGATGTTTAAATATCGAATATTGCCTATTAAATCATTCTATGTCTACATGTCGGGGCCCTTGTCTTACTCGTCATATCAGAGTAAATTATTCTCCATATTGTTTACATAATAACTGGGCCAATTATTTCTAACTGCCAAAACCAAAATTGTGATTTCATGATTTTTGAAAATTTGGCAACGTATTGCTATTGAAATTTTCCAATACTCATAATTTTGCGGCTTTTCGGGTCAAAACCTCACAAATGCTGGTAGTTATCTCCTTCTGTTACCATTCTCATGGAAAAAGTTTGTCTTCCAAATAGACAAAAGAACGATGTGGTGAAGTTTTGGGTTTGCCCCCTCAATGGTCACTAGTTCGACTTTCCTCAGGGCCACTGAGGTGAGTACTGGTTGAAAACTCGAGGGCCCCGTGGGATTAGTCGAGGTGTGCGTGAGCTGGCTCGAACACCCATGTTAAAAAAAAAAAAAATTAAGAACGATGAACATTGGGTTGTACACGGCATTTATGATTATAGCGTCAACTCATGGCCTTTTCACATAAGAAGGCTAGATTAAATGGTTGATTCTTTTTTTCCCTGTATTTTGTGGCACCGAGAAATGAGAATTGGTGGTGTCTCTTATGTGTGAACTAATGTTAGACCGCTGAACTGAGATTAATGACCTTGGATGTTTGATCTAGAGTTCAAATTGTCCTGGTAAAGTAACTCTACACACAGTCATCACAGATTTACTGAGCTTTTATTTGGAGAATTTGTTACAGTTCTTGCGATCTTCCACTTTGTGGTATTATCTAGATTTAAAATATTCAGTTGAATTACCATTTTGCTTGTTTATGCATAGTAACAGAGGTTAGTATAGTTAGTTACTTTTCTAAATGTTTTTTAGTCTCATAATTTCATTCATTTTTCCTCGTTGTGTTGATGCTACATGAAAACGATGTTGTTATTCTCGGTGTACCATATTGGGTGACCTTGCTTATTTGTTTGACGTATTTAGCTTGTTTTTAATGACTTGCATATCTTATGCAGCTTCTAAGACCACAGTTGGAGGAGATCAAGGAAGATATGCAGAATAGGGTACAGGCATCAGGCTGTAATTGGACGTAATTTATGTTTTTCTCAAACTGTCTATAATAGTTATCTGTATTGCTTCTTTATATTTTTGCAGGGCATGACTCCTACTGCTGTTGCTGAAGGTCAGGCACAGATGCAGGCACTATTCAAGGAGTATGCCCCTTTCCTTTGTGACCAATGGAGAGAGATTACCATAAATATCTGTTTCTGTTTAACCGTGCGGTCAAGCTTTATAACAAGCACTAACATCAATACGATAACCCATTTCACATGTTTTTAGCTTAGTGTTAAAAGTTACGCTACTTAACATGGTTTAAGAGATTTTGTGCATTGTGCCATCACCCTATTAAATGCTATTGAATTTGTTCACCTTACAATTATATAATGTGCTAAAAAATTATTGTATCAGAGACTGATGTGAATACAGCGATATGGTTCTGATTATGTGGCCTAGCAATTTAGTAACTTGACTTGAATCAACTTTTGGAGAAGAGAGACTTCAAAATAATGCATAATTTTATTTATTGACCAATTTTTATGGCCTTAAAAGATTTAGTAACTTGATTTGCACCGATTTGGTTAGCAGAAAAGTCACCGAAAACCGATGCAACACAAAAGAACTTGTTAGCGAAAAGTTTTAGTAACTTGATTTTCATCAATTTTCCCCTAATGATTTTAGAGTAATGATATCTATGACCAACTTTAGAGCTTTTATGTTGGAAACTTTGTGGAAGCTCTTCTAATATTGGCAATTTATTTTTTACTAGAAGCTTGTATTTTGACTGAGCTGAGGGGGAAAGAAAGGGAAAGTTGTCATTTTGACTTCGTTTTAAGAATCAGTCCAATAATTTATTCAGTAGCGAAGCTTTGTAAAATTAATTGTTGCTTTGATTGTTTGTTTTGCTTTCTATTGATGGGCTAAGGCTGTAATTGAACCGAGTTGTTGCTAACAAAGCTCGTTTATTTAGCCATGTGAACTAAGAATGAGCTTGGTTGTAGGTTTTTAGGCTAACTGGCTAATTTAAAATTCATTTTCTGAAAAACTTTTTCTAGTTTTTTATTAATTATAACTTGTTTTCAGAAATCAAATAGCGGTTGTAACTTACTGCTTTTACTCTGATTAGGAAGTGATTCAGAGAAAAATTTCTAAAGATGGATTCTAGATCCATTTCAGCTGCTTCTGAATTTGTTTCTTTATTCTGAAGCGTAATTGTTCACATCCAAGTGCTGCTCTCTAGGTCAAAACTCAATGGAAATATTTATGTTTGTAGGTCAGAACTCAATGGAAATCTTTATCTTTGTTCAGGTATAAAAAATATGTACTTATTTGAGTCCAAAGCAGCAAGATGCAAAGATCAAGTTCGCAGGCTGAGTCCATACCATTGAGCATGGAATCTCTAAGCTTCTTTAGATTAATAACATACTGACATTAAGATCAAGGTGGAAGAAGCACGAGATTTCACTATAATAAGTAATAACAAGCCAGCCATTAGTATAGCTCACGGTGCTGTTCAGCTTGGTCTTGCAAATATGTAGAAATGGATTGCCATTTCATTGAAGAAAAACTAAACAGCAGGATAATGTGCGCTCCTTATGTATAGCTATCAAAAGTCAAATAGCAAACATGTTGACTAAGGGGTTTTCAAGCGTTGAAGTCATTAAAAGCAAGTTGGAAATGAAAAACACAGTGCCCAGCTTCACTGGGTTGATGGAGAATCCTCTGGCCTGTATTGGCATATTTGAATTATATAGCTGGTATAGGTTGTAAATATTGAATTGTGATTGTTTCCATATTTGGACAGTTGAGCAATCTTTTCTCCTCATCAGTGATTTCCTGCGCGATCGTTGAATTCTTCCCATTTTGCTTCTTTGTAAAATTTACAATTTGTTGTACTCCATTCAGTGAATAACAAGGAAAAAAAATTCACAATGCCTAGGCTGTTTTCATATGATTTTTAAGCCAATAAAATTACGTATTTGGTGTCGCAGATATGGTGTTACACCATTTACTCCATTGAAGGGACTTTTGATTCAAGGTCCTGTCTTTGTCAGTTTTTTCCTCGCTGTAAGGGTCCATTCCTCTTTACCATACTTGATAGTGTTTTCCCTTCCATCAATTGTTTCAAGTGTTATATGTTTTATCATTTTCACTATTCATCTGATCATTCTGTATGTAGATATCAAACATGGTGGAAAAGGTTCCATCTTTTAAACATGGTGGAGCATTTTGGTTTACTGATTTGACAACTCCGGATAGCATGTATATTTTTCCAGTTTTAACGGCATTGACATTTTGGATCACAGTTGAGGTTAGCATTTTGGTTTACTTTATCTACTGTTTGTATGTCAAAATATATCAGTCTGTCTCTTTTCCCCGTGGATCCCAAGATATGTCATTGAGACATCTTGATGGTTATCTTTCCTTGCTTCCTTCTTATTTAGTACAAAACTGCCTGATGCATAAAACCCCAATTCTTCATCCTCCTCAGCAGCCAGCTTTTGGGGGGCAGAAGTGCCAGATTAATTCTATCTGCTGCCATGAGTAAGACAAAAGAATAATTTGTTGTTTTATCTGCCACTTGCAGCCGTACAGTGAAAATTCTAAAGATAGGCCTCCTGCAAAACCCAATTGCATTATCATGTTTTCAATTTCCAAGACTGATACATACATTTTTGTGTGAACCAAACTAGTTGTATCTGGGATTTTGGGAGCACCATTTTCTATCCCACACAATAATTTGTTGAACATGGACACACCACTCTAGGAGGAGTGTTCTTGCTTCATCTTTACAGCTTACATTAAGAAAAGTCAAGTATGGATGCTATTGGTGGAGAGAGCAAAATCCGGTAAGCTTAAAACTCCTTTAGCCGCAAAACCATGCTTCTCCTGGTCTGTCATTTCATTTGTACCTGTAGGTATATCACTTTTTTTCTGGGCTCTTCCTTTCAACATATACTTTTTGTGTACGGACTGTGATCAGAATCCTTTTGGAAGCATGTTTTCTTTTCTTTCGAGACTTCCTTCTCTTAGGTTTGTGTTCCTTTTTTTCTGGTCAAGTGAAAGTTCATTCTTTTTTCAGTGCAACGCACAAGAAGGTTTGGAAGGAAACCCATCCGCTGGCACCATCAAGAATGTTTCAAGGGGCTTTGCAGCCCTGTCAATTCCATTTACTGCAGGTTTTCCCAAGGTACATGTCGCAACTTCTAATTGTGCAAGATTGTGCATTATTTGTAAAGCTTGTATGTTCATGTTGAATGTTAAGGACACCCACCATGGGATACAAATAATTGATTTCCTAATTGAATAGATGGATAGAGTAAAACTTTAAAATGATAGAACAATGGAAGAAAATGCCAGGACAATTATCTAGTATCGGGTTTTAGATAAAATGGGGGATTAAATAACTGATGTCTAAAAGCTGGGGGTAATTAGCCACTTCTTGGAAACACTGGAGGATATAATGCTTTATTTTAAGAAAATTGTCTATTTTCTCTCTTTGCCGTTAGTCCGAATACATATCCTGGGTTCTATGTGAAATTCATGAACATTTTGCCTTCACTTTATAAATAATAAGGCTATTAACATCGTGTTTATATCACTCTCTACAGGCTGTATTCTGCTATTGGATTACCTCCAACTTTTTCTCCCTGGTTTATGGACTCAGTGAGTTTTCACATTTCATTTCCAAAGAAATTACTTGACTCCGCTCCCTGGAACCCATCTTGTTTTGAATTTGTATGCTTGTTGCGTATTTTTGACCTTTTTATACGTCAAGTGATTATTCACTTTTCTAATATGTATTGTCTACTTTTCAGTAATTAGAAATCAATCGGTAAAGAATTTCTTGGGAGTTCCTATAATACCAGTTCAACCACCTTCCAAGAATCAAAAACCAGCTCTCCCATTTTTCGAAATGCTCAAGAAATTCGCAGCTGCTCAACAGCAGCCTCTGCCATTGCCTATTGAAGCATCAAAATCCACAACTCAAAAAATGCCATCTTCATTGGTTCTTAATCAGAGGCTTAAAAGTATAGAGAAAGAAGTCAAAGGCAGGAAGAAGGGAAAGAAAAGCCTCAAAAGATGACCGTAGGTTTTTAATATAGGCAAGAAATAAGCTTCTGGGAGCAGTTCTGGTTGTGCTTAAAAGGTTTTTTGGTTGAAAGTACGTCTCTAGATACTTTCAGCAAAAGCAAGTTTAAGTTACTTTTAAGCACTACCGAAAGTGATTGTTGGGCTTGCTTTGTCCCCATAAAAAGGAAAAAAGTTGAATACACAATTTTTATTCTCGACATACATCATTATTTCACTGTTAGTTTTTGGGAATATTAGAGAGAGCTTCTCAAATAGAAATTGTTATGATGGGATTTTTGAGTGATAGGCCTCCAGATAGTTTCCAGTTAACCAGTATTAGAAGTTACCAATGGTAGATACATTGCTGTATTTATTTGTATCTGATGCATGAAAGATTTTGATTTTTATCAGTATTTGCTTCAAGAAATATTAGAAGACACTCTTGAATTTATACTTTGTTATTATACTTCACTCGACTTGCCCTTTGTATGGTGTGAGGAGACTTATTTTGTAGCATATTGGCTTTATCAGTTTTTGGGAAAGATTTCCCTGTTTTGTCCATTCTTCAATAAAAGTACTTGGCAAATTTTTCTTGGAACCACAGTATCGGAACCTTCTCAAGCTTGGGCATTTTCTAGTTAGAAACCAACTTAGACTAATGTAGGATATGCTTAAGGCCTACTGATTTAAGTGAATATCTAATGCTTTTCTAGTAATTTTATGCTCTTGTGCAAAAAAATCATGCTCTTACATTTCAAATGGTTAGCAGAGAAGAAAATTTAAAACTGAAATGGGTTTCTAGTATAATATTATAAATCATACTTTGATCTTATGGTGTCTGGTACTTGTGTTGTTACTCTTTCTTCCTTTTAATCATATATTTTTTGATAAAATATTATTTAAAAGTCCTAAAAATCATAGGGTATTAAAACTATCAATAATTCAGTGACTTTTATAAAATTCTCACGAATTAACTTTTAAGCAGAGAGTTTTAAGCCCCTGTTTGAGTTCCATTATATTAAATTCTATTACATTTTATTTTTCTCTCTCCTATTTTTAACCACACAATCTTCCATAAAATAATATTATATGTAAATCGAAAATTTTTCATTCTTTTTTAACCACTCATTTTTCAAAAAAATATTATTCTCTCCATTAATTTTTCCACGTAATCGACGTCAAACACGGGCTAAATATATAAAACCCCTTAAAAGTCTCTTATTCAGCCGCAGACTTAGACTTTCATCCCAAAAAAAGGGCCTTTCAATCCGTTATATTTTTCTTTCACCTCACGCTCTACATACCCTAACTGGAAAAAAATGTTTAACATTTTTCTCTCTATTTATATCTCTCTCTCTCTCTCTCTCTCTCTCTCTCTAAAATCATTTTCTTTTTTTTTTTCTATGCGAAAAAAGATTGATAAAAATTCCTATAAGATTTCTCCCATTTTTTCATCATTTTCTGTAACTTTCATGGAAAAGATCAATTTTTATTTAAAATTTTATATAAAAACAAATATTTCAAATTCGTTCTTACTGTATGGATATTCTATCTTAATTCACCTTATATCCTTCTCTATGTACTAGTTTCTTACCCGTGTAATGCACGACATGTATTATTTTAAATGTAATATTAGTGTTTTTAATGTTGATATGAGCATGGTTGTAAAAGAAAGTGATTTTTTGTTAAATCTTTTGTTTTTAATTATTTATTTGAAAAATTTGGGAGTGTAGTTACAATTTGTTGTTTATTTATCTTTTGTTTATTTTTATTTTATTTAAATAAGAGAGTGTATTTTCAATTTACAGTTTTTAATTGAAAAAATGAATGAAAATGATAATTTTCTTAACGAAATGTGAAAATAAGGGTGAAAATGTCAAAAAATAAAAGGTATGGTCATTTTGCACAATAATATTGAAAGGTCGAGACGCTTTGTGCTAATTACCCTTTTAGTAATTTGTTTGGACTAATTTGCAGTTTTTAAAGAAGTTTGGGAATATAATTGTAATTTGTTCTTTAATTTTTCTATTCTTTTTTTATTTTATTTAAATAGGAGTGTATATTTGTTATTTTATATATATATTTTTTGATAAATTAGATGAAAATGTACTTTTTCGCAAATGAAAAGTGAAAATAGGAGTGAAAATGTCAAAAATGAAATATAAGGACGTTTTGAACAATAACATTGAAATGTAATGACATTTTGTACTAAGCACCCTTCTTTTTCTAATACCCGTAAAAACATTTTTAATAGGTATTTAGTTTTTAGGATTAAATCCACACACGACCATTGGAATTTATATTTAGTGTCATCATGATCATCTAAATCAACTTTGATTCACCATGATCAATGTACTTATTGTCACCATTATCATCTAGATTGCTTTTGATTTATCATGGTCACCCAACTTTATATAACGTTTCAGTCAAGTCATCCAATTATTATCACAACAAAAAAATAATAATAATAAAAAATACACACGCTAAAAAAATTCATACATAATTATTACCACAAAAAAAGGGATAAGAATCGAAAACCAAAATAAAAAATAAAAAATACACACACATACATACATAACATGGTACACATTACAATTTTTTTTTAAAAAATTATATGAAAGCGAATATATATATATATATTTGTTAACACAAAATATACAACTAATCTCTCTCTCTCTCTCACACACACGTGCACTTTCACATACGCAGAAAATTAAAAAAAAAAATCCACTAACCCAAATTAGGAAAAATTTATACAATATAAATCAAACCCAAATTAAAAAAAAAATTACTATTTAGAAAAAATGAAAAAATACAAGAAATATCGGCTAACCTAAATTGAAAAATTATATAATATACCCAAATCAAGAAAAAAAAAATATTTTTGTTTTTGTTTATGATTCTCATTTTCCTTTTTTTTTTTTTTTTTTTTTTTAAAAATTTGGTGGGGTTT